TGTAGGGAACACCTTGTGCCCCCAGAGCTTGGCCATCAAGAATCCCTAAGTATCGACATGTGCCTCCACCTCCTAGTGCACAGAGAAGGCAGGAATCAGGAGTGCTAGATGCATATAAATGTTGTTGCCTCAGCAACAAGTGCGTCTTGGGCAGAGATAAGGCATGTGGTTAAAAATGTTACTTCTAGTAGCAGAGATTATCATGTCCACTGCTTGACCTAAAGAAGGCTCGCCATATCCTAACTGCATCCCACAGCCCCAGATCACTCTAGAATAGGTCATTTCTGAATGTCTTGCTAACTGTTTGAATACCATCCTGCTATGGTCAGCTGCTCCTGTGAGTGGAAAGGTCAGTTGGGGCTGGTAGTGCCTTAGACTGGCCTGTGCAACTGATCACCTCTCCCAGTTCCTGATCATGGCAGAAGGGACTGGTGGCGTGAGCCTGGTACCTACAGTACAGGGATCTCACCTCCCACCAGGACTCAGCACGTAACTTTGCCTCTGATCTGGGAGGCTTGAGGGAAGAGTTGCCCATAAAATCACACCTACTTGGTGGTAAGAATAAAAATCCCACCCACCTGGGACTTGGTAATTTTTCAGGATAGGAAAAATAGCAAACTTAAGTGAAATGGAGCATGCTTGGAGGAGTTAGAATCATCTGCACTTAGGAGTTTGCTGCCATTTAGCTTTAGAATTTGGGGTGGTGGAAAAAATGGAATGCATGAAGCACAGAAATGTTTTAGGATATTTTAGGATATGTGAATAAAACTGGATCTCGATCATCTTAATAAACTTGTTTTTGACAAAAGATGATGACACTTAACAATAAAAACCAGTTTGTGTGAAACTGAGCTGGTGGAGAAGTGCATCTTGCGTTGTAGCCTAAGACGTCAGCTACCACACGTTGACGGACAGAGCCCCGGTTTTCTCATGCTCCAGACACCCCACTGCTACCGCACAGCCTCATGGCCTTCAGCCTCCATCTTGGCACTTAGCACATCTGTGTGGAGACACTCCCCTGACTTTCTCCTGAAAAACCATTGCAAGTCTAATCTCAAGGGTTGGGGAAAACAGACTACATCAGGATTCAGAGCTGTTGGTGGCTGCATGGGGTATTACCAATTAGGCAGACCATCCTAATGGCTCAACCCGGCCCAGGACACTACCCTTAGTGGCCCTAGCGAGACCAGTCTTGCCCATTCTGTGGTCACAGTCTTCAGTCAGTCATTTAACCAACTCTCACTGAGGGCCTACCCCGTGACGCACTTGGTGACAGGCTTTGGCATCCTAGCAAGGAAATGTTGGCAAGAAAATATGGACCCACCCCTGCACTCTCACTCAGACGTCACTGAAGCCAGTGACTCTTTCTTTACCGTGAGGGATCCAAGTGAGGACGTCACTATATCCCTGGCGTGCCTTCTCCCCACCTTTTGGAAACGCAAAGGAAGTGCTTCCCTACCTTCTCTAGTGATGGCGCTGGGAAGAACCGCTCACTGGGGATATGAGCTTTGCACAGGACAAAGCTTCATGATAAGTTATTCCAGGATATTCCCTGATTAAGTCCAATAGGTAAATTAGTCCTGGCAGCAGAAAGAACAGCAGGAGAAATAAGTGACTCATCATTTCGAATCCAAAAAATTTGCACCAACAGATGGCAGGTGGTTTAATGCAATAGTCCTCACCCGGGAAGTACCTGGGGATGCGGCCAACAACTGTCAAGCCAGGACAGTGCTGCTGAAGAGATGCCTGTAAACACGACTGCCGGCCAGCGGTCACCCAGAGCTCACGGAAGACACTTCCGCAACAATCCGAGCTGAGCCTGGAGACACTTCCTTGCAATCGGTGACTTCAGACGCTAATGACAGATTCCCCATGCTACCAGAGCAGGCTTTCGGGAACCAAATTGCATTTGTTCATGCTCTCATCTGCCATTTTAAATAGGGCCACTCTGCCCTAAGAGACAAAGACGTTTCTCTTTACACCGTTTTATTAAGGTCTTCGTAAGAAATTGAGATAAAAAGTCCATGATCTCCTGTAGTTCAGGGTATATTTTAGATAAGCCTTTATATAGTAAGAGAATCTACTTTTCTGCCTTTTAAACAGAATCACAAAGAGAACTAGATGATCTTGCTTTAGCACTAGTTTGGAAGTCGTCCTGAGAATTCAGCAGGCGTATCTGTAAAGCAAGATACCCAGTGAAGTTCACGAGCCTACTTACTCTCAGCCGGAAACAGGAACCAAGCCACCTGACTATCAGCAGGGAAGGTCAGAAGCCACCACAGAGGAGGTAGCAAAGTAAAGCAGACTTTGGGCGACTCAGTTCCAGCATGCAGGACTAACCCATGTTATACAAATAAAAACGTGTGTTTATTTTCTATGATGGTGACGTGCCATTTTCCTTTCCTGGGAGTTCCTACCAGCCCCTTCTGACATCCATCTGCATCCTTCTCCTCCTTAGGAGGTAGAAACACTCCCAAATAGCTGATGCTAGAGGACAAGCCTCTGGAGGTATTTTTGGACGTAACATAAATCCTGTCCTGAGGGGTTGAACAACTGAGGTGACAAATGCCATCAGGTAAAATTAAGTGAGGCTCATTCACACTGTCCTGTCCTGGCTGCTGCCTGGAGAGGAGGCTGTAAGGGCCAGGGTGGAAAATGGAAGGCCAGCCACCAGAGGGGTGACGCACTCAGGGGAGAGGTGACACACTCAGAGGAGAGGTGGTGGTGGCTTGGGCCGACGCAGTAGCCACAGATGTCACAAGTGGTAGCTAGATTT